CATTAAGGAGGATGAGAATGTACTAACTAATTCCGAGATTCTGTGTAATTTGCAGGCAAAATTGACACATGTGGCCGAAGGAGATCAACCATCATTGTTGAAAATGATCCGGAAATACAAGACAATCTTCACAGATGTTTCAGGACTAACATCTGTCCTACAGCATGACGTTGTACTGGAGGAAGGAGTCCGGCCTATAAAGCATCACCCCTACCGACTCAATCCCCTGAAGAAAAAGGTGGTGGAAGATGAAGTGGAGTACGTGTTGAAACACCATCTGATAGCCCCAAGCACGAGCCCATGGTCATCCCCGATACTACTAGTGCCCAAACCTGGTAAGAAATACCGTTTCTGTATTGATTATCGCCAGGTGAATAAGGTCACAGTAGCTGATACCTATCCTCTCCCCAGAGTAGAGGAATGTCTCGATGCCATAGGCAAAGCTAGCTACCTGACGAAATTTGACCTATTTAAGGGCTATTGGCAAGTTCCCCTCACGGAGAGGGCCAAACCCATCTCTGCGTTCGTGACTCCCAACGGCCTGTTTGAATGTCAGGTGATGCCGTTTGGGATGAAAAACGCAGCATCCACCTTCCAGAGGCTGATGGGTATTGTGTTGCGTGACGTAGAAAACACCTTGGTCTACATCGATGATGTATTAATATATGATGTTAATTGGCAGGACCATCTACGTCACATAGAGGACTTCTTCGAGGCCATGCTCCAGTCAGGGTTGGTAGTCAACCTGCACAAATCTGAGTTTGCCAAAACCTCTGTCATCTTTTTAGGTCATAAGGTAGGAGGAGGATGGATTGCGCCAAAGGCCAGCAAGGTAGAGGCAATAGTCCAGTACCCTACACCAGCCACCAGGAAGGACATCTTGCGTTTCCTTGGTATGGCTGGTTTCTACCGTAAGTTTGTCCCTAACTTTTCATCCATAGCCGCCCCCCTGACAAATCTTTTGAGGAAGGGTGTGAAACTGTCGTGGGATGAACATTGCCAGGAAGCTTTTGAGAGCCTCAAGGCGATTCTAATCTCTTCTCCAATCCTCAGGTCCCCGAGTTTTGAGGATAGATTTATCCTAACAGTCGACGCTTCCGACTATGGCCTGGGGTCCGTATTATCTCAGACGGATGAAAAAAGGGGTGGAACATCCTGTAGCCTACCATTCTAAGAAGTTTACCCCCAGTCAGCTCAACTATTCCGTCATAGAGAAAGAGACGTTGGCTTTAATCAGTTCAGTCCAACACTTTGAAGTGTATCTAACTAGTAATAGTCATCCTATCCTAGTACGAACTGACCACAACCCTATAAAGTTTCTCGCCCAGTTTAAACAGAAGAATCTTCGACTTACCAGATGGAGTCTACATCTGCAACAATATCCCCTCCAGATTGAGCACATCAAAGGATTGGATTACGTTGTAGCTGATGCATTGTCACGCATCTAAACAACTGATTAATTTGGTTTGTTTCCTTTATTGTTTTTAGAAATCCAAACCAAATTCTTTTGGTGGGGAGGTGTTGCGAACCAAAATTCCTCGCCCAAGTACGAAGCCGTGAAGTCCACGCCATCTGTGAGCCCACTCCCGAAAATCCCACAACATAGACAACGCCATCTAGTGATGACGGGAGATGCCGGCAATAAGTGCTGGATGCCTGTCCTAGTCGGCTGGCTCGTGACGTAGCCACTACTGACCTCTGGTGAGGTGGCACTTAGACAGTGAACGCCATCTATGGAGCGAAGAGGTGGACGTTTGTGTCTAAGCTAGAAAGTGAAGTTTCCTAGTGGTCCCATGTAGTGTCCCCAGTACTGATGATGTGTCTACTTTCAGAGTCAACCTAGGACGGTTGTGAGGTACGTTGAATCAGTTTACCTAAGGCAGCCAAGGTCTCTTCACCAGTCTGCTTTGTAGAAGTTGTGAGCCACCCCCGGACGAACTCTGCTAAGTGTGTGATTGCCTGCCTGAGGAGTGGTAGTAACTGGATTCGCCGTATCCATGGCTGGCTGATGGAAGAGACCACCCACTGTGGTGCCGACCGAGGAGAGTGACAAGCGAGTCACATGAGGCAGCTGGCTAGGGCTCGCAACCCTAGTATTAGTCGTGGAGTGGCCTAACAGCGAGACTGACTAGTACCTGCCAGCTACAGGCTGGACTGTGGTTGTAGGCCATCACGACGAGGCACCCAGTGGGCTTGTGATTTGGCTGGCCTGTGGCCAGGGTGGATTCACCGTGGGTTCTGGGCCCCGGAAGAGGAAACCAGGAAGAGCTACCCAGGGTGAGCATTGCCAAGTGTCCAGTGTCTTCGGAGGAAGACGAAGATGTATATACTGTGTAGGAATAATTCCCTTTTGTGACAATAATTTATACATGGTGGTGAGAATATATATATATATATATATATATATATATATATATATATATATATGTATATATGTCGTACCTAATAGCCAGAACGCACTTCTCGGCCTACTATGCAAGGCCCGATTTGCCTAATAAGCCAAGTTTTCATGAATTAATATACTTTCTCTAATTATTTGCTTATGAAATGATAAAGCTACCCATTTCATTATGTATGAGGTCAATTTTTTTTATTGGAGTTAAAATTGATGTAGATATATGACCGAACCTAACCAACCCTACCTAACCTAACCTAACCTATCTTTATAGGTTAGGTTAGGTAGCCGAAAAAGTAGGTTAGGTAGGTTAGGTAGTCGTAAAACAATTAATTCATGAAAACTTGGCTTATTAGGCAAATCAGGCCTTGCATAGTAGGCTGAGAAGTGCATTCTGGCTACTAGGTACGACATATATACATATGTCGTATATATATATATATATATATATATATATATATATATATATATATATATATATATATATATATATGTCGTACCTAGTAGCCAGAACTCACTTCTCAGCTTACTATGCAAGGCCCAATTTGCCTAATAAGCCAAGTTTTCATGAATTATTTGTTTTTCGACTACCTAACCTACCTAACCTAACCTAACCTAACTTTTTCGGCTACCTAACCGAACCTAACCTATAAAGATAGGTTAGGTTAGGTTAGGTAGGGTTGGTTAGGTTCGGTCATATATCTACGTTAATTTTAACTCCAGTATATATATATATATATATATATAACAATAAGATGCTACCTTCAAGATACGTCTACCAGTAGCACAAAACGTTTTGACCAGGAAGCAAACGTACCCTAAACTCCCCCCTACTCCACATTCCCTCCATGCTGGCTCGCCACTGTCATCAACCAGCAAACTACCATTCCCAACCTGCCTGCTTCTGATTGGTGACCTGCCGACTGCACACCTGCACCTCGGCGCCCTCTACTTAGTCGATGTCTGGGCTTGAACCAGTCATCGAAGTTAAAATATCTTGTGCTCTCAAGCTGTGAACAACTAACTGATATACACTCTGTCTATCAGTTGGATGTTTCTCAGCTAGCGCTTTATTCTCAGCACCTGCTCATTTCATTTTGTCTTTATATTATAGAGTAACGTCATCCCTGTTTCTAATTTTTAGGTTATATTTTTTGACTTGTTTGTTTGCACTGTACATAGCCAAGGAATTGTCTTTGTTTTTAATTTGCTTTTAATTTAATTAAAGTTTCATTGTTCATACTATGTGTTTTGCATGTATTCCCTTACTTTACCACAGACAACAGCCAAGCAGTCGATCTTTTTTTTCTTTAATGTGATAGGCATTGACACCAGTTATTAGGAGGACTGCCGAACATCTACACCTTCATTTTCCCATCACATTAAATGGGGGCCTGTCCTAGGAGCCTCACTCAAGTACTAGTACTAGAACATCAATTTGTGGTAAGTGTACTTGGCTTTGATACAGTTGCTTTTCAATATTTTCATTACTTTTAATATTTATATGGTGCTGTGTGTATTGTGCATTCCGAGAGTAGCATATTGTGAGTGTTGGATAACTTTGGGTTACGTGGTGACTGGAGGCCGCAGTCATTCTCTTAATTGGTCATCCCTCCCTCTGGGTTATTACTCGTGTTTTCCACCTTTTGTCCCTAGGATATTTCTGAATCTCAGACAGATCATCATTTTGGTACCCTGGTACTTTGATTTGTCTTCGGGTCAAAGCACCCTATCTCCTGCAATCCAACCGAAGGAGGATACAGAGGGCCATAGTTCCTCTAGCACGGACTAAGTTGCTGTGTTGGGACCTCAGCAGCAGTTCTCGTCACCAATTGACACTCGCACCCCTACACGTCGGTCAGAGATGATGATATTTACTTAGGTAGGGAATTAGCTTTCTTTTTTCAGAGCACAAAGTTCGCTAATTCTGTAAGTACCATATTTCATATAGTGGGAAAACCCTTGCTTCTGTCCTACAGAGACTTGGCAAGGTATGCCTACATTCTTGGACTACCTTATTCACGTTTGAAACAATTAAATGTTTCATTTGTTTTAGAGACTTTCGGTTTCATTTATTTAGTAGGTTTTTCTTGCCCTTATTCTCTTACATTGAGAACCGGGTACAAGATTTCCTGCGCTTTTGATTGACTAATCATTTAGCCTACTAAAATTAACGTTAATTGTTAACGATTAAAATTCCACAGGATAGTTACCAGTTGCCACGTTATCCTGTTACTGACACTTCCATATCACAAGTATATTCGTTGTACATTTATTTGCTATTTTTCAACATGTTTCGTCTCCAAGCTTTTCGTAACGATCCAGCAGGTGAAATAGGGAACTTAATTCGTGCCAAGAAGACCGAATTACAAACTCTTGCACACGAGTATCAACTAGATGTTCCCCCTGAAGCCAACAAAAATGACTTGCACAATTTATTATTGGATCACCTCTTAGATGAAGGGAAGATTGACTCTGAAACTCACGAAAATTATTCTATTGCTGATAGACATGCTCTGGCAACTATGAAACTAAAGCTCGAACTTGCAAAGATCGAGCGGGAACAAAAAAAAAAGCCCTCCAACAACAAAAAGAAGCTCTACAAATGAGGGAAAGAGAGGCGGCCTTAAAGAAAGAACAACAAGAACGCGAGGTGGCCCTAAAGGAACGCAAGATGGCCCTAAAGAAAAAGGAGACGGCCCTACTACAAGAGCGTGAGCGTGTACAGCTTGAAGCAAGACAACGTCACCAGGAGATGCAACGCGAGCATGATAAGAAGGAAGCCGATATGGCTTGAGCATGTCGTTAACCAGAACTCGCGTTGGCGTTGGAAACTACACACTCAGCGCCAACAAGCTACAGCTAGTCTTCCCATAACTTTCAATGTCTCCCATGCAAGTAAGTTAATGCCACCATTCGTTGAGACAGAGATCGATGTATTTTTCACCACTTTTGAGACCCTAGCTAAAAAACTTAGCTGGCCTGCAGATCAATGGTCTACCCTTCTCAGAGTGCATCTCACAGGTAGAGCTGCAGTTACTCTCAGTACCTTAGCGTCTGAGAATGACTACCAGACCCTGAACAAGCAGTTTTGGACGCCTACCTTCTCTCCACCGAAAGCTACAGACGAAAATTCCGTGATTATCTAAAGGCAAGTACCACCACCTTTCTAGAATTTGCCAATACGAAGAAAAGATATTTCATGAAATGGCTGGAAGCAGCACATGTCTCTACATTTTCAGAACTCGTCAACCTCATGCTAGTTGAGGAATTCTTGATGTTGCCCCTTCCGTCCGTTTATATTTAGCAGACAAAGAAGAAACCGACTACATCAGTTGTGCGAAGTCGGCTGACACCTACAGCCTCATCCACTGGCTAACACCAGAACCACCTTCCAGTAAGAAGTCTTGGTATAGTTATGATAAAGTGAGTACAGATCAAGCGAGCTCTCAATTGTATTGTAAGTATTGCAAACTCTATGGACATACCATAGATAAATGTGGAAAAGCTCAATACAAAGGCAATGAAACTCCTAAACCAAAACCTACTCCTCCTAAGTCCGGTAAGCCTGTGATGAATGTTGGTGTTCCTGTTAATGATCTTTCTCTCTTCAGCAAACACCTGTATCCTGGAACTGTCTCTGCCAGCAGTAGAGATTCGGAGGGACGTTTCAAATTGAAGACCTTGAGTGACACAGCGGCTCTTCAGTCAATAATATTGAAATCGGCTGTGCCTAACATCACCTACACCGGGGAAACCGTCCTTATCACTGTCCTCACTGCTACTACTCCGTATCCACTCGCCAGAGTCCACCTGGATTGTCCTTTTGGGACCGGTGAAGTCCAAGTCGCCATCAGTGAAAAGCCTTTTCCCATGTCTGGAGTGCAACTTCTCCTGGGCAACGACTTGGCAGAAGATCTGCAACCGTCCAACATGATCATCATGGACAAACCCCAAGTGTGTAATTCTGTAGTGGACAATCCCATCTTTAAGTATGTTCCAGCAGAGGTCCAAGAAAGTGATGAAGTTTCTCCTCCGGTTTTGGTGATCACTCGTGCACAAGCTGCACGCCCGCAACCAGCTGACTCTACTGCAACCGCTGTCCCTCAAGACCATCAGAATCTACCACCGAATCTTACTAGGTTGGAGTTCCGTAAGTTACAGAGGGAGGATCCATCATTAACACCGTTATTCTTCCAGGCTGAGACTCAACCTGACAGTATCCCTGGGTTCTTCCTAGAGAATCAGTTGCTCTACCGCAGGTACAGACCCAGTAAGCTGAAGGAGGATGACGATTGGGCAAATATCGAACAACTAGTGGTTCCCACCAGCCTACGGCCCGATATTCTACACCTGGCCCACGGAGCACTTTCTCACTATGGTTTTAACAAAATCTACCACGGAATCAGACAAGACTACTACTGGCCAGGTATGGTTAAAGACGTCAAAAGTTACGTGCAACAGTGTCATACATGTCAGATGGCAGGTAAACCTAACATCTCTATTCCCGGGGCTCCATTGACTCCTCTCCAGGTGCCTGCAGAACCTTTCCACAGACTCATCATAGACTGTGTTGGTCCTTTACCCCGGACCAGTTCTGGCACCGCCATCTATACTAACTATCCTGTGTCCTCCCACCAGATTATCCATAGCAGTTCCAGTAAAGAACATTACGGCTGCTACTGTGGTGAAACAACTATTGAAGATCTTCACCCAGTATGGATTTCCAAGAGAGGTTCAAACTGACTGTGGTTCAAACTTCAAACTTCAAAGTTCAAACTTCACCAGTGATCTCTTCTAGAAAACACTGCAAGAGTTCAACATCACACAGGTATTGTCCAGCCCCTATCATCCTGCTTCACAGGGTTCTCTTGAACGTAGTCATCAGACTATTAAAGCACTCCTAAAGAAATTTTGCAATGAAACTTTGAAGGACTGGGATAAACAACTTGACCTCATTATGTGCATTTTCAGAAGTCTCCCCAATGAGTCTCTAGGAGTATCTCCTTATGAGATGTTTTACGGACGTAAGTGCCGTACTCCTCTCAAAGCTTTTAAAGACTCTCTACGTAATGCCACCTTCAATGACCCTCAGAATGTGCCCGTTTCTTCAAAACTTAAAACACATTCTAGAGAGAGTACGTAAATTTGCTAATGACAATCTATTGAAGGCTCAGGAGAGGATGAAGACTCATTTTGACCAAAGCAGCAAAATAAGGAAATTTAACCCAGGAGACTTCGTGTTGGCATATTTTCCTATCCCAGGTTCTCCATTGCAAAACAAGTTTTTAGGACCCTACCGCATCAAGGAGTGCAGAAACAACCACAACTACGTTTTTGAGACTCCAGATAGGCGGCGGAAGACCCAGTTGTGCCACGTCAACCTCCTGAAGCAGTATCAAGGTACTCCCCCCACTGTGTTGGTATCATTATCCACATTTAAAGGTCCATACCTCCACAGTGAGACCTTCCCCGCTTCTCCTCCCGAAAGCACTAACACTGAGTCAGTGCCTTCCAACTCGGAAATCCTAACTGATCTTCATACCTATTTGCAGGACAGTAATAGTGCTCCTCTCATCAGAATCTTCAAGGAACATCAGAAATTGTTCAGCGATGATCCACAGGAGTGTAATGTTGTTCAACACGACATTCAGCTACTCCCTGACACCCGGCCTATTCGTCAATCTTTCTACCGAATCAGCCCGAGCAAAAGGAAGTTATGCGTGCTGAGGTACAGTACCTCCTGGATCATGGGCTGGCCACCCCTTGTGAGTCCCTTTGGGCCTCACCCTGCATCTTGGTGCCGAAACCGCACGGTAAAGTGAGGCTGTGTACCGATTACCGGAAAATGAATCTTGTGACTGTCAAGGATGCTTACCCATTACCTAGAATAGATGACATCCTTGACGCCATTGGTAATGCCCGGTATTTATCCAAACTAGACTTACTCAAGGGATACTACCAGGTATGTTTGACAGAAGGAGCTAAAGAAATATTTGCCTTCACCACTCCTTTTGGCCTTTACAGATACGAACGCCTTCCATTTGGACTATGTAATGCCCCGGCCACTTTCCAGCGAGCTGTCAACCGCGTCATCCATGGCTTAGATAACACCTACGCCTACTTGGACGATATCGTTGTGGCAACCAACACCTGAACGAACATCTGCTCCAGCTGCAACGATTGTTCGCCAAGCTCCTGACAGCCGGCCTCACCATCAACTTGGGCAAGTCCACCTTTGCTAAAGGTAAAGTACGTTATCTTGGTCATGAGATAGGGAGTGGCAGCATAGCTCCGTTAAACATACACACTCAAGCCATCTAGCATTACCCACAGCCTACCACCAGGAAGCAGCTCCTGCGCTTCCTTGGTCTTTCCTCCTACTACCGTAGGTTTGTGAAGAATTTTAGTACGGTAGCGACACCATTGATCACTTTAACCAGCCCCAAGCAATGGTGTCATTGGACCATTCAGCAAACCATTGCTTTTGTACAACTTAAATCTCTGCTCTGTTCTAATCCCATTCTCGCCTCGCCCGATATCATGAAGCCTTTGATCCTCCATGTCGACGCCAGTGGTACTGGCATCGGGGGCGTCCTGATGCAACAACGAGGCGAGGAGGTTCTACCTGTTAGCTACTACAGCTACAAGTTAAAACCACACCAGAAGAATTACAGCACTATCGAAAAGGAAATTCTCTCCATCGTCCTGAACTTACAGCACTTTGCTTATTACCTACAAGGTGCTCGGTCTACCACCATCTACTCGGACCACAATCCCCTACGCTTCTTGCAGCAAGCCCAATTCAACAATCAACGACTTCTACGATGGGCTTTGTATCTGCAGAATTTCAACCTGGAGATCTTCTACATCAAGGGTTCTGACAACATCATAGCAGACGTCCTCTCCAGAGTCTATGAAGTAGAGGCAGCTACACCTACCACTCTACCATCTGAAGACGTAACTTCACACATTAGAGCAGGTTTCGGGGGAGAGTTTTGACGATAATCTCTTTCAAGAGAGATTGAGTCTGCTCTTCCCTACATAAAGTTACATATATATATACAACAACAAGATGCTACCTTCAAGATACGTCTACCAGTAGCACAAAACGTTTTGACCAGGAGGCAAACGTACCCTAAACTCCCCCCTACTCCACACTCCCTCCATGCTGGCTCGCCACCGTCATCAACCAGCAAACTACCATTCTCAGCCTGCCTGCTTCTGATTGGTGACCCACCGACTGCACACCTGCACCTCAGCGCCCTCTACTTAGTCGATGTCTGGGCTTGAACCAGTCATCGAAGTTAAAATATCTTGTGCTCTCAAGCTGTGAACAACTAACTTATATACGCTCTGTCTATCAGGTGGATGTTTCTCAGCTAGCGCTTTATTCTCAGCCCCTGCTTATTTCATTTTGTCGTTATATTATAGAGTAACGTCATCCCTGTTCTTAATTTTTATGTTATATTTTTTGACTTGTTTGTTTGCACTGTACATAGCCAAGGAATTGTCTTTGTTTTTAATTTGCTTTCAATTTAATTAAAGTTTCATTGTTCATACTATGTGTTTTGCGTGTATTCCCTTACTTTACCACAGACAACAGCCAAGCAGTCGATCTTTTTTTTCTTTAATGTGATAGGCATTGACACCAGTTATTAGGAGGACTGCCGAACATCTACACCTTCATTTTCCCGTCACAATATATATATATAAAGGAAT